ACCTTAAGTAACTTTCTCTATTAACTAAATAGATCCCAGGGTTCTGTCTTCTTGTCCAAATGTCTTTTTGTCTTGTTACTGATAGCTGTAGTATGCACAGTTTTCTATTAGCAAACCAGGCTGAAAACACTGACCTTCCTTTTGCTGACTAATAAATAAATAGTAGTGATTTGCCTGGGTTCCACTGGTTAGTATAGCATTCACTGAACCTCCTAGTCTCTCTCTCCTCTCTGTTTATAGTGTCTCTTTCTATATTTCATATCTATTTTGATGGCAGAAGTGAATGCTCCAAGCATTTTGGTACATGCCTTAGTAGTAGTGGTGGATTGCATTATGAGAAACAAATTCAGACAACTCTTTCTGAACATATTTTGGTACAATGTAAGAGCTAGTATCTTCTTTCAAAATCATCAGTGCAGTTCAAGTAGTTGGTTAAAAGTAAAGTACCACAGGATAGATATATATATAAGAGGAAAAGTTGTGCGTATTAAAGTTAATTGACTGACTTGTTGGAATTCAGCAAATCTTCAGCACTTGAGTTAGGCTGAATAAGCTCCTCACAAGGTAGTAAAGAGAATAGGAATCTCCAGAGAACATTTAGAATATTCAGTGTGTTGGAAATGAGATTTTTTTTTCCTTTGGGAGGTTCATACTTTTTTCCTTTAACTTTGAGAGGGCTGTTAAGTTCCAGCTGAGGTGCTGACAGCAAAATAAGCTCAGTTTTGGATACCAAAGTAAACATATAAGTGGGAATGTTTGGGGCTTTATATCTCTTAGCTTATAATGAACAGCACCATCAAGATTTGTACCTGTATTGACTGACTGCACAGTCTGCATTTTGCTTTGTAAAAAGGTGTTTGTACAAGCAATTATCTGCTTTTAAATGGATGTGGAAATTTTACTGACATGATGGACTCTGAGCAAACTGTGGTAGTCCTAAAATTGACAGTGCATCTTTTATTTGGTATTATCCATTTTCTCTAAGGATGCATAAAATCTGGCAGTTATTTAAGCCTTTAAAAATAGGAAAAGAGCTGAACATAGACATTGATAATAAATGTCATAGTTAAGCAAGAGGAGATAGTTAGTGGATGTTTTTTTCCAGTTTGCATCTTGACTCAGAAAGAAAAGGTTTATGATTATGGTTTTAGTATCTGAGAGAATCAGTAGCTCAGAAAGTGAGCCAGTGCTGGCTGAGTGTGTGAAGAAAAACAACTATGTCCTGTCTGGAAAGAGACACATGAGTTCCAGGGGAAGGACAGGATGGGAAATAGGAGTGGAGGGACATAAATTTGGAAAAATAACATCAGTCCATGTAAAACAAAATTTTATATATATATATATACACACATACATTCTTTTAATTGGGGCTCTTGCTTTTCTTCTTGTGGGAGATATAGAACATTTTTTTTCTTTAAAGCCCAGAACACCCCTCGTGCCTTTACCAAAAAAAAAAAAAAAAAAAAGTGGAAGTATGCCAATTCTTATTTATATGCACTTATTTAGGAACACTTTCTGCTGGTGTGATTTAAGTGAAGTGAACTCAGATCAGTGTAAAGTCAGAACAAGACTGGAGAGCCAATGATTTAGCAGATATAAATTTATAGTAGATTCACCATAAGAACTATAACCAGGGCAGAAGAATGCTCTGTATGATCTCAATACAATAGTTAAATGAATTCTAAGTCAATATATTTGAAAGTCAGTGAGGAAAATACTAATATGAACTATGTTTCAGGTTGACCAGTGACATTTAACAAGGTACGTTAGGAGTTTTCTTCTGCAGTTCTGGTAGTCTTGGGTATCAATGGATTCCTACATGGTTTTGTGTTTAGGCATTTAGACAATTTTCTCCTAAATACTCTGCTCACAATCATATTTACTGCTTTACTGTGTGAAAGCATGTCCTTGGCCAGGAAGTCAGCCCAAGCACTGTATTAGCACAGGAATGGTGAGCATCCATCCTTTCTTATCTCCCTCTTCAGCTGCCATGGAAAATTATCCTACTTTGTAGAGAAGCAGCATGATGGGACAGGTAGATACATAATCCCTGGGCACTGGGCCTTGCTATTTTGTAGTTTCTTGTACCCTCTGACAAATCAAAGCCCTTTTTCTCTGTTAGAGATCAGCCAGGGGAAAGAAAAGTCTCTTTTCTATGCAAGTGGATATTTTCTCCATGGGCAGGACTCTTTTCAGTCCACTGCTCCCATGGTGGGTCATACCAAGGTTTGTCCCTTTCAAAGCCCTTTGACCAGGGGTCTCCTTAATCCTCTCTTGGATTGCGTGCAGTGGGAACAGGCAGCTTTCACGGAGTTCTGACCTGATTTTTTTTACTCTGAGTACTCTTGCAAGGAAAATAGACTGATGCATAGGAAAACACACATTTAATTTTACAACAGGAAGAGTTTGCAAGTCCCCAGCCATTAAAATAGAATAGATAGATTTGCCTGTAAATGTGAGCAGCCAAGTTGGATTTGATAATAACATACACTGAGGCACCTTTACACGGGAGAGACACTACAGAGGGTTGTTAATGCGAGAGTAAATTAAAATTGCATATGCTTTTAGGTCTTTTAGAGATATGAAGCAAGATAATGGAGACTAAGTGGTTTAGCTACTTTAATTTTTTTTTAAATAGGTTGGACTAACAAATAAGTAGAAATACGTTTAGAATATTATTAAATAGTGTATGCCTAGGCAGGCTTAATGACTCTCACTAAGATTTTGCTCATGTTATTTCAGTTTGTTTTTTTTTTTAAATCTATCTGTTTTCTCCAAATCTAGGTAGAATTGCTTCCATTGTGGTGCCTAAAATAGATTGCTTAAGGTTTTAGTCACTGCATCTATACCAGCACATTCAAAGATAATATTATTCACTTAAGCTTTATGCAAAACTGGTCTTTCTCTTGTCAAAGAAAGCAAACATTTAAGGAGCAGAATGATTCATGCAGTTGACCCCAGTCATCTGCTTCTGCTGGGTTTGAGCACCTTTCCTATCTTGGTGTCAACACAGACTCAGAAAAACAGCTTTATGAGACTCTCACTGCCTTTGCTTTGCATTTTTGTTCCTGGAGATCCCTTGGCATGCCCAAAATAGCAAAGTTTGCATATAAAATCAGGGCAATAAACCAGCAGCAATTTTAAAAAATGCTGACAGAGATGGAAAATATCTGAGATGAAAACTGTCCAATATGCTGAACAGCTACCTCAAGATCTTAGTGTCCTTTTCCTTCTGTGTAGTTCTGAAGTCAGAGAGGCTTTGATTTTAGGCTTTGATTTTATTAACAGATCTCACCCATCACAGTTAGCCTGTGCTGGATGGAAAAGAATCCCAAGAGAAAAGTGGGAGAGTTTCAGAGCTAGTTGCATGTCCCTTTCAGAGCAAGACTGACACATGGAATAGAGTCACCTAGAAGGGCACAGTGGAGTTAATGGTCTGACTCAGGGTAACCCTAGTGTTTCTGTGTCAAAAGTTATTTTATAATGTGTGTCCTATACAGAATCACAGGATGGGTCATGCTGGAAATAACCACAATGGGACATCTGATCCAAACTCCCAGCTCAAGCAGTTTCATCCTAGAGCACATGGCACAGGAATATGTCCAGATAGTTCTTGACTATCCCCATGGAGGGGGGATATCCACAGCCTATCTGGGTAACCTGTTCCAGTGCTCTGTCACCTGCACAGTAAGGAACTTCTTCCTAATGTTTGGTGGAACTTCCTGTGCCTCAGTTCCTGCCTGGAACCCCATGTCCCACTGCACCACCGAGCAGAGCCTCGTCCATCCTCTGGTCCCTCCCTGTAGATGCTCATAGACACTGAGGAGGTTCCCTCTCAGTCATCTCTTCTCAAGGTGGAGAAGACCCAGTCCTTCATCCTTTCCTCATTAGAGAAATGCTCCGGTCCCTTGATCATCTTTGTAGCCTCCTCTGGACCAGCTGCAAGAGCTCTATTTCTCTTTTGCACAGAGTCCAGAATTTAGTTGACAACTTTAAGTTATCAGCAGCATTTATTCTGCCACAGGAACTGAAAAACAGGCTGGGGAGGTCTCTCTTTTACAATAATAGAATTTGTTTCTTTCAAATTAGCTTTGCCTTTTGGACCGTCACCACATGGGTTTCGATCTATTTGTGCAGCACTTGGTCTATCATCTATTCATATCAATGACAGTACAAAGTCAGGGTTTTTCTTTCTCTCTTTCACTTCTTGGTCAACAGTGCAAGGCAGAATTTCCATAATCCTTTTCTTATAAGAAATCTTTTCCTGGGCATTAAAGGTATTCTTTGTCCTAGGTTTGTGAATACTTTGGTTGTTACAAGTACATTGTGCTATATACAGAATTTGCATAAAAAGTTTTGCTGTACTGCTGAGAAGTAGCAGATTTTAAAAAAAAAACAACCCAACACATATCCATGAAATGAAAAATGAAAACATGAAGATCTGCTAACAGCAGAAGGTACTGGATCTCAATATTGGCAAGTCATCTAGATCAGGTAATAGATGATGTTCTGAGAAGTCCTAATAAACAGAAGCTAAACAAACATAGGTTGACATAGATTAAGAAAAATATAAGACATGCACACACACCACTTTTTATTTTCCACCAAATTATTTTTAATAAAGGAGCAAAAATCCAGTCTTGTAAATCCATACTTCAAGTCCTTTTGGCTCAGTAATCCTATTTTTAAAGGCCTGTATAAGATTGAAAAGTGAATAATTAAATCCATGTTGACTGTGCCTATTTATGAAAACCTGGTGCATACACAATGTGTTTACATAGTTAAATAGACATTAGAAGTGTTTTAATATAGTAGTTCTATAGTATAGAGTATATAGTAGCTCTGTGTTTTGCTTATACTTGGTAATTTTCTTGCTTGATGTGACTTTTGGTGAGTTTTAACATTTGCCCAGCCAGTCTCTCTGTTTCTCTCTTTCTCTGTGAGGTTCACATGTAAACTGCTTTAAAGATTGCATAATGACTGTTTGGCATGTCCTACAGGCAAAGGCCCAGAAACCCTTTTTGCTGGCTATAACCTCAATGATAATGAGTGGCACACAGTGCGTGTGGTGCGGCGAGGAAAAGGTTTAAAGTTAATGGTGGATGACCAGCAGGCCGTGACAGGTACTGTGCCATTGTGGTTCCATGAGTCCATGTTGTTGGGGGGAAACACAAAGCAAAACCAAAAAACAAAGCAAAACAATATGATACAGAAGTAAAATTACTTTATCTGAGAGAAACGCTTTTTTTCCCCTTTTCTCGGGTAAGATTCAAAATTCATGTTATGCATCTTGCAATGCTGGTACGAGAAGGTTGCTATTACACTTGCTATTAATGTTGCTCTAAGGTTGCTATTGAAATTAATGAAAACCTTCGTGCTGACTTAAATGAATGTTTTTACACAGCGATTGGAGAGAAGTGATTTAGTACATCACTAATGAGAAGGCAAGCAAAATGCTTTTGGCAACACATTGTTAGGGCTAAACTGTAAGCCACTGCTGGAAGAAAGAATTTAATGAGCATTTGAAGGATAGTCTACTGTGGTTTGAATCTTGCATCAACTGTCCTCAATAATTATATATTAGGCAGCATTTTTTTCTCAAATACTAAGATAGCAGTTGGGGTGGGAGAAAAATATATAATTGGCATGCTAGCAGATGATAGAAATGTGTTTCTTTACTTATATTATCAGAAAGACTAATAGAGCACACATTGATTTTGTCCTGTACAAGACAATGTTCACATGCATGTTGTTAATAGAAACTTATCTGGCTTCTGGCCCTAATTCCTTGCACAGCAGAATGTGCCTACTTTTTTGTTAGCTATTTAGAATTATCCTTTGGTTTTGTGTAGCATTAAACAGCTTTTGTCATTGGTTCTAAGCTTTGTTAAGATGGTGACAAGTTAAATGTTTTGTGGGTTTTTTGTGATTTTTTGGGTTTTTTGTTTTGTTTTGTTTTGTTTTTTTTGGGTTTTTTTAAGACGAGTGTAACTTCTTTAATAATCCCTTTTCACCTCAACAGAACACTGAGGATCTTGTCACTGGTAGAAAAAGAATTCATATAGTTGCAAGAACATGTTTTCTAGAATCAGAAATTACCAGTATATCTTCCAGCACTGAAGTCTGTGTATGTTATGATGCCTAGGGTCATTTTCTCAAGAATGTAGATGGCCTAAACAATTTGTTTTCTTTTTGATAATATAGGAGGAAGTATACAAAAAAATGTTATAATCTTGCTGCTTCAACTGCTACTCAAGGCAGATTCTAATGGAGAGAAAATAGTTTAGATCAAAATCCAGTGCAAGATCCAAATGCACAATTCCTGGACTCCTCATGCCAGAGTTCTAATTTACAACTATGGCAGGTTACATAACATGGGTCCAGCTTTCTGGTGCAACATTTGTATTCTTTCCACAATCTGGAATGTACATCCAAAAATGGCCAGTTGGCTTGAATTCCCTCTCAGTTCTTCAAGCTAGAACTTGTCTGCGTTTGCTTAATGCACAGATGTTCAATGTTATTAATCCAAAAGGAGAAACTCATCCCAATATTTTGGAGAAAAAAAGACAAAAATTCCTAAACTCTCTGTAAGAATCTGTGTGGTCAGTTTGTGTCCTCCTTCACCAGTGAGGAGGAAACTGCTATATGAAAAACAACAGAGGGAGCTTTAAATATGGGGATCTGCTGTTAGTTCCATGAATGTCATATTTCCTACAAAGAAAATCTTTATTGTTGTTTAAGTGGTGAGAATTTTTATTTTGTTTTTGGGGGGGTGGGGGTTTTGGTTGTTTTAGGGTTTTTTTCAACACTGAGTGTTTTTAAAGCCTTTACAAGTTTAAATTTCAAATGTGTGTAATAGAATTTAATGTGTAGTAGCTTTGAATTTCCTGAAAGCGTAGGGGAAGGTTTGCCATGTGGGATTGAAGTGTGCTTGTTCTAAACTGCTTAGAACTTTTCTTCAGATGTTCCAACAATCAGAAATTTGATTAAAATACAAGCCATTAATTTTTCATGTGAAAGGTTATTATAGTTTTATGAGGAGAATAAGGAAGTAAACTGACTTCCAACTAAAAATTCCAGCTTTCTTCTGCCACATGTTGTTTTCCTTTTTTGATTCCATGTCCTATGCCTTATATGAAAGAATTCCCATCAGATCCAGAAAACTTAAGCTGGAGAGAAAACCGTTAAATAATTCAGCCTAACTTTCTAATTTTTACAGATTATAAAACACCACTTGTTCAGTTGTGAGTTGTGCTTTGTCCTCTTTGACAAATGCATGATGTGTGCAAGGATACATAACATAATTCAGTCATAACTAGCTTTCGTTGGAAGCCATGCAGGTGGTTTTGAAGAAGTTGCTCATCACTGAAGAGTTTAAATATTTCCAGCCCTGATATTCCTTATTTTCTAAGATTGTATAGAAAATAAAAGTGGTTGGATATTCACTAAATTTGGGTAACAATAGCTTATGGTTTTGAAAAGAAATTCAATTGCCTATTTCTGTGATGTTTTTCCACAAACCTGACAAACTTTAAAAAAAAAATAAAAAAAAAAGAAAACAACCAAATCCCCAAACACCCAACCTCGTAAGTACAAACTACAAACTTTTACTTCATTGCTGCATTTACAAATCCTGTGGAGCATGATGGGAAATCTCAAGTCCTGTTTGCGTGTTTGTAGAACTGAAATGTTGGAGGGATGTGAGCCCAAATTCTGCAACTTTTTTATTACTTTGCTCAAGAAAGAAATACATTTAAGGTAGTGGGGGTATTGTGCTACAGGTCAAAGCTTGGTGGATTTTTGCCATAACATTATTGGAATGCCAGCTGAAGGGATACAAGACTGGAATATATAATTCCAGTTCCTCTCTGAAGCCTGATCCTCAGCTCTCTGCTGTAATGCAACATACAGCTCTTGTCCCAGTAAAAATTACACATTTGGCATTTTTCAAGACAGCTCCCTGACTCCTTACTGCATGGAAGAACCCACTTCTGCTTAAGACATTCAGGGAAAGTGGTATCTTCAGAACTGATGTTTAGAAACAAGAATATCAAGAAGACACTCCCTGGGGTTTAGGGGGTGTCTTGCAGTTCTCAGCCCCATGAGTGCATGTGGTGTTCAATGACAAGTTCTCCTACAGAACTCATCTCAAAGCTAAGTAAGCTACTTGGAAATATTTATCATAAATTATTAGAGCAAATTTTGTGCCTGAATGGTATTAAAACTTACAGAGCTCTTTTCCCTGTAACTTCACCGATGCCTGTACTTGTATCTCAGTGCTGTGTCTTAACCTGCTCATGAATTCATCTTGCTGAGCCAATCTCAGATATCAACATTTCTCTTTCCCTTGTCTTTTCCCTGTCACACACATGTCCACAGACACTTGCTTATGACACCTACAAAGGTACAGCTGTGTCAGACTCCTCCAGGCTTTGTGCACCACTTCTGACATGTCGAGCCTGGGGCAGTGCTCACACTGTCTCTTGGAATAGAATATTTGGGGATGCACAGAAGGAACTTGGCTTGTCAACAGCTTTACCACTGTGGGAACTTGTATTAGAGCAGTTTTATGCCAGTATTTAGTCCAGCCTGGCTAGGTCTGCTCTTCACCTTCTGTGTACTCCATGAGAGACATGAAACAGCTAAGGAACTGGGGAATCTAGGCCAGGAATCTAGGTTTGCAAAAGGTACATTAAGTGGTGAATTCATTAGTAATAAGAAGCTGTTTTTCCACACAATGTGACCATGAATCAGCCCTGTGAAAATACTGCCCTACTTCTTTAAGATAAACATGGAAAAAATTGGACATGCTGTCAGAAAAAGGAACTCTTCAGTGAACACAATTTTGATGTGCTGGGTAAGGTATTTAATAACTAGCCTAAAAACTTACCTGACCTGTATGCAGTGTACTCTGGCTGATCCTTTCCTCCAGACTAGCATTACAGTCAGCAGATTTCAGGCTTCTTGCTCTGCAGTGGTCCTGGCATGACAGAGAGAACTCAAAGGCAGCTCTGGGGTTTGCTTTCAGTCACCTTTCCTATGTAAGCATGTCCCTTGTTGTTTCCAGAATTATACTGGCATGCACCCTTCCTGCAGGCTTTCTCCTCTGCCCATCCCTTGGGCTCTGCCCCTTCTCCCATGGTACAAAGCCAGTTGCTTTCAAGAAGCTCTCCACCCTTGTCAGACAGGGCTTTTTGCAGCAGGTCTGTCATTAATGTACCCAAGACATCTGAAGCAGGAATCCTTAGTCCCACTAGTCAAGTCATGCACATTGAAGCAAAACACATGGAAGAAAATCCCTCAAGCTGTTCTGTTTCTCTTTCATGAGACTCTGATATTGTTGCTTTAGCTTTGAGACTGGCCTTTGTGTTCCTCATGTTAAGTAATTGCACTTGCTTATAGTAAAACCCCACATCTTGTTAGGTGTAACTAAATGGAGGGATTTTGTTGGCAGTTTAATGTACTCTGGTAAACTGTTTCAGTTTAGCCATTTTTCTGTTGCCTTATCCAAATGTACCGAGTGCTTTGGAAAGGCTCCTGGATTTACCAGCAATTAGGATGAATTTGGAAGAATTCTCTTTGGAGAAAACAATTGGCCTTGCACATTTTGAAAATTGTGAAAGTGATGCAGATGCTTAATCACATGATGTACTCTTTGACCTCCCCTTTCAGACACTAACACGTGTTTTCTTGTTGCTGTTTCAAGGTCAAATGGCTGGCGATCACACACGGCTGGAATTCCACAACATAGAAACAGGAATAATAACAGAACGGCGCTATCTGTCTTCTGTGCCTTCCAATTTTATTGGGCATCTACAGAGTCTCACATTTAATGGCATGGCATACATTGACTTATGTAAAAATGGAGACATCGATTATTGTGAGCTAAATGCAAGATTCGGGTTCAGGAACATCATAGCAGACCCTGTAACCTTTAAAACAAAAGCAAGTTATGTTGCACTGGCCACGCTACAAGCGTACACATCTATGCACCTTTTTTTCCAGTTCAAAACCACCTCCCTGGATGGATTGATACTTTTTAACAGTGGCGATGGAAATGATTTCATTGTGGTTGAATTAGTAAAAGGGTATGTATGGATTAGCATAACAGCAAAACCAGTCCATTCGAAATGTGTGTGCAGGAGGAATACACAGGAAAGCTTAGGATGAAAATCTTTTTTTTTCTGACTGGATAGATGTGATTGATAAATGTTTCTTCCTGTTGAACTTCATGTGCTTTATTGTGACTCTTTCTTTCAGATGAAGCTAGATGCCTGAAATGTATGAAAGTAAATAATAGGTATAACTTCTCTGGTGCTTACCACAAAGAAGTGCTAGTTTGTAGCCTCCCTCCCTCTTGTTCTCTCTCTCTACGTATGTATGCATGTCTTGGTACATGGAGTGCTCGTTGCTTTCCAGAAACCTGGGACTGCACCTCAACTCATCCAAATGAGTGGCAATTTCTTGGAATCACAGTTGCTTCCCCATCTGGCATTCATTGTTGTCTTCTGGTTTAGCCAGCGCTGCTGAGGAGTACAAGCAAATAGAAAATATTAGACATATTAATTATTGCCCCCTTGCTATGTAAAGAAAAAGGAAACTTTTCCAATTTTTTCTCTTTTCCCAGGTATTTACACTATGTGTTTGACTTGGGAAATGGTGCCAACCTCATCAAGGGAAGTTCTAATAAGCCTCTGAATGACAACCAGTGGCATAATGTCATGATATCAAGGGATACCAACAACCTACACACTGTAAAGATTGACACTAAAATCACAACACAGAGCACAGCAGGAGCCAGAAATTTAGATCTAAAAAGTAAGTACAGTGATTCTTGTATTATCTACAGGGAGGGCCATTATAGAATAATAAACAGAATAAATCACAGACGTAAAGTAAAAAGGTGTAATTTTGTAATATTGTATGAAACCTTTTATTTTATAATAATCAGTATGATCACAAGTGATTACATCACCTTAACCTGACAATGCCGGTTTAGTAGTACTTCTGCACAGGTAAGTACAACTTTAAACATATGAAGATCCCATAGGAATTAGAAATAAATAAATAAAAGGTAAGAAATTTTAATAACACAACGTGGCCCATATAAACCAAAATATAGTTGAAGGACTAACAGAGGCTTACAATGTCTATGTAAAAAGCTTGACTTTTACATGAACATAGGTTATAAAAGTAGCATAACATACTCATCTAAATGAGTATGTAATATGTAAATACATCATAATTTCGATTGCAGGTAGGGTAAACTTTGTTACCAGCACTAAACCTATAGGTCATAAATCCAGCTAGTTTCTTAAGATCTGTTGTTTATAAATATATGTATATTTTTAAAAAAGTGATAGTAATAAGTTCTGTGGATGGGTTTCTGAAAAACTAATTTGCATCTGAGGAAAATATGTTTTTGAAAGGATGTATACATATACTTTTAAAATAATGACTACTTAATCAGACATAGGAATATATGTCCTGTCCTGGTGGAAAAGCAGTCTGTATTTTATTATTCTTTAAAAAGGCTCTTGGCAGGAAAACTGAAATTTCATAACAGTCAAAGAAATATGATATTTCAAAAGCCAGGATGTTCAAAGTAGATATTAATATTCCATCAAGAGCTTATTCCTTGCTGAATTTTCTTTTAACTGCCTCTGAGTCACAGATAATGAGCTGACCTTGGTAATTATGCTGGATTTTGTGATATTTTACATGTTTGCCTCACTTGAAAGTGCTATTAAGATTGTAAGAAAGACTGTGAAAACAGTATCCTGATATGTCATAATCTTCAATAAGAGATTATTCTATTTAAAAACCTGGCATTTCTGATAAAGCTTTTTGGGCGGCTCATACTCCATTCCTAAAGTAGCATTTCAAATTTGCGCCATGCTATTTCTCGGGTCTGCATTCTTTTAAAGAACATCGATTTTCTTATCGATGCAGTGTAATATTTCAACACTGGTTTTGATGCTGTTGAAAAAGCATCCAGCTTGTTCCTTGACATTCTTAATGTGGCAAGTACTACTTATGAACATCTGTATGTCTTTAATATGTTTGGCTCTTTTCCTAGTAGTTAAATCAGGCATGGGTAGGGGGGAAAACAACAAAAAAACAAAACAAAGACCCCGTTTCAAGCTGATAATTAGCACAGCCATTTTATTCGACATATTTTTCAAAGTTGTGGTGGGTCTTTGGTGTGCCGGTTTATTTAAGGAGAGAGGCTCAGGTTCCATCCATGTGCTCGCTGAAGGCACTAGAGAGCGCTGCGATCCCAGCGAACGGAGCGGCGGCTCAGCAGCGAGGCAGAGCCCAGCATCCCTGCGCATCCCTTTGTGTGCGGCGCTTTGAAAATGCTGCTTTCCCCTCACGCTTTTGAAGTAAAACTGTATCCATAGCTGCAGCTTTTTCTAACCTTGAATTCCTTCGGAATAAAAAAAAAAAAAAAAAAGGAATGAGGAGCATGAAAAAAGAAACCACGCTGAGATTTGAAGAGAGTAAGGTGAATTGTCTTAGATGATTTTCTATAATTTACCACCCAGGGAATGTGGATAGTGAAAGAATAACAAGCCTGACGTGTTCAGTGCAGGAATATATAGCAAGCACATCTCTCAAACTGTTCTAGCATACACAGGTCCTCAGCATCTCTCTTCTCTTAATAGTGTGCCTCATTTTACTTTATCGTTTTAAATGTATCATACTATATTTTTCTCAGTCAGCTTCCTTTAAATATGGCACAATGTATATCCTGAGTGTTTTGGTTGGATTTGGGAGGGGAATCAAGCTGATACTTTTCAGCCAGCAGGCTAAAAGGGAGCCTTTCATTACTGTTTTTCCTTCCTTAGTATCTAGTAGAAATTATCTACTGTAGCTGCTTCTTGTCTGTTTTACATCTGTGTTCCTTTCAATGGCATGTTTCTGTTGTGCTAGAAACACTCCATATACTTTCCTGATATAAATACAGTTAATTCATTGTCTTGTACTATCTTAGCCTCAGCAACAAAGCAAATGCAAAATCACACTTCCTGATATCAATAGTGTGTTAATATCAATAGTATCTGCTTAACCAGATAGCAATAGTTATCACTATACCTGCTTAACCAGAGTTATCATTAGGAAAAATATAAATGTGTGCAGATATTATGAAACCTGCAGCCATTCTAAGTAATTGTAGAGTTACCAGATTTCTGATTTTGAAATCCAAGCTGATCCTAGTAAAAGAAACCCACTATATGTGGGTTTTTGCAAATACACAGCGAATTCAGCACAAAGATAAGACACAGATTGTGTTGTTGAGCCTGCACAGCATGAAAGTTGTCTGGGAGAGCAGACAGCTGCCATAAAAGTATGGGAGAGAATTTCCAATATATGTTTCCTTTTGGGTGTAGGATTTGGCTGTATAACACAGAAAGTTCATTATCACACACATCAGTTCCCTGCATAACCTCTGGTAAAATTTCAGCAGCTACCTGTGGAAACACATATATTACATCCTGCAGCCTAATTATTGTTGTAATTAGATGGGTAAATTATAAACTGGGGACAAATAAATGAGTGAAAATAATTCTGTGTTTGGATTCCAAGAACTGTGTTATTTTTCCTCACAGGGAAAATTAGCAAAGTGTGCTGAGGTGCAGTTCTAGCAGATAACCTGTATAGATAAATGAGTCTGAACAGTAAAAACAGTGCAGCTCAAGCCTGCCAACACAGTTACACAGCAAATTTCCTTTCATATATTTCATGAGCAGATTCCCTGTCCTGCTCTCAGGATAGGTCAGATGGTTGGCATGGCTGCAATTCAAGGCCTGGAAGAGTTGGGTGGAGGGCAATTCTTGCTTGTTGTACTTGGTGCTGTGCTCTGATGTTCTGAAGGGTCTGAATAACCTCAAAGGGCACAGGAAAAACAAGAGAAAATTATTTATTTGATGGAGTGACTACATTGGTGGACAAGGGAAAGATTACAGATGTCATTTACCTGGACTTCTGTAAAGCCTTTGACACCGTTAGGCACAGCATCATTTTCCCCAAACTGGAGAGAGGTGGATTTAATGATGGATAAGAAAGTGGTTGGACAGTTGCATCCAGTGGTGACCAACATCTCAAAGTCCTGATGCACAGCACTGACAAGTGGTGTCTCTCAGGGGTCCTTGTTGGCACCAGTGTTATTAAATACCTTTGTTATTGACACAGAGAGAGGGATTGAGAGCACCCTCAGTGTATTTGCTGATGACACCAAGCTGGGTGGCGTGGTTAACACACCTGAGGACAGGATGCCATCCAGAGGGACCTGGACAAGCTGGAGAAGTGGGCCCATTGTGCCCTTTTGAGGTTTAATAAGACCAAGAGCAGGTGCTGCACCTGGGATGGGGCAAACCCTGGTATCAACACAGGCTGGGGGGTGAACAGATCAGAGCAGCCCTGCCCTGAAGGACTTGGGGGTGCTGGTGGATGGAGGGTGGATGTGACCTGGCCACGTGTGCTGGCAGCCCAGAGAGCCAAACGTGTCCTGGGCTGCATCAGGACTCCCATGGGCAGCAGGGCAGGGAGGGGATTCTGCCCCTCTGCCCTGCCCTGCTGGGATCCCACCTGGAATATTGCATCCAGCTCTGGGCTCCCAGCACAGGAAGGACACGGAGCTGCTGAAGCCAGTCCAGAGGAGGCCGCTGAGATGATCTCAGGGATGGAACACCTCTGCTATGAGGAAAGGGTGAGAGGTCTGGGATTGCTCAGTGTGAAAAGGAGAAGGCTTTGGGGTGACCTAATGTTTGGCTTCCACTTCCTGAAGGAAGCCTGGAAGAAAGCTGGAGAGGGACTTTTTTTACAAGAGCCTGTAGTGACAGGATAAGGGGGATTGGCTTCAAACTGAAAGAGTAGATTTAGGGTAGATATTAGGAAGAAATTCTTCACTGTGAGGTTGGTGAGCCACTGGCACAGGTTGCCCAGATAAGCTGTGGATGCCCCATCCCCAGGAATGTTTAAGGCCAGGATGGATGGGGCTCTGAGCAACCTGGTCTAGTGAAAGGTGTCCCTGCCCATGGAAAAGGAGTTGGAAAAGAATTATCTTTAAGGCCCATTCCAACACAAACCATTTTGTAATTCTTGTTCCTCTCTGTTCCCAAAGAAATATTGTCTCCCAGTGTCAGGCTGTGAGTTTTGCAAGGTCTATAATGTCTATTCCCTCTCCACATTTTTTGCAGTCTGGTATGGGAAACTGTAGTTCTGTCAGAAATTATTTTATTTTATAAGTACTTGAAGATGCATGATCTGCTTCCGAGGAGGAGGACATCCTCAAGCACACTTTATACCCACTTACCTACTAGGGTTTAATCTTCCTCTTGCTTCTCTCCTACACATATAGGCAGTATTTTAATCCCCAGAGCTTTCACACACTTTTTTAAACAGCAGGCATAAAAAACCCTGCAAAATCCAATCAGAACTCTCTTGGAATACCTATCATAAAATTAAAATATTTTAGCATTTTAATTGTTTATAAATTGAAATGAGAAGCTGAGGTATTGTACTCTTACCAAACAAGAAGGTAAAGACTTCTGCAGTTATTTTAGACTGAACAATAAGTAGTTACAAACTTTTATATGAGTTGGTAGTTTCGGTACTTCAGTATCCAATTTTAAACTTTCCACATCACAGAATATATTCACAGATATGCTGTTTCCTCTAAGATGATCTGCAGTCATCCTAATCTTGATATTGGGATAACTATATAGATATATATTTAGAAGGAAATAGCCATTCTGAAATAAAAGCCTGCACAGCTCAACATTTATGAGTTAACTTTTGCTGTCTGTGCATAA